AATCATTGCCACTATGTCCTAGATATTATCATAATCATAGTTAGGTTAACATTATTGAGAGACAATGTAACAAATCGACAACGGACTCGGGCTTTTTACATTTATAATTCAAATATCGTATATGTTTTCCAAAAAATCTCCTCACCTCTTCCGAAATTTTAAGTGGAAAAACACGTTCAAAATAATTTAATTTGAATAGCTTTGGTATTTAACAACTAACAAGCGTATCGCGTACAGTGTTCCATTTTCTACCCTAGGCCCTGGGGTGTCTATATAAGCAATATTATAACCTTTTAATAACTAATCAAAAGCTGCTCGAAATACCTAACGCTTAAAAAATGCTTGTGTAAGAATGTATTTTCAATTCTCAATCTACTGAATAAATTGTATGTGAAAGTATTGAGTGGTGAACACATGGAATATAGCAAAATAAATAATAGAGGCCGAAAGTCGGTGCGTTATTTGCATATTTTTTTTACTGAATAAAAGACTAAAAACAACATAACCATAAATATTAGCTATTTAAATTTGAATCTTAGCTCTATAAAAATACTGAAATATTTTTTGTGCGTCAAATAAATTAAAATGTTTTAGTAGTTTTTTAAATTTTAGTTCAACAGACTACATACCTACCCAATCCATATTTTTTGTTAGTTTTAATTCCGTGCATTTCAGAGGGGACATAATAATATATATTATTATATGATACATTCTACGCAACTATGGGTTTCGAGGCACTCGTTTTATTATGATTTATGATTAGTATTATTATAATTATATGTACTGCAACTGTTGAATATTTGTACGGTAATTTCTCGTCGACGGACGGCATAAAATATGCATAATGTACGCGCGGCTGACAGTGTCATGGTGTGCTGCAGCGGAGTGCGTGGCGATCGATCGATACCGAGAAATGATTATAATATTATTTTGTATGTACCTCCGTATAATGATAATAATATATTTATACGAGTATGATCCGCGACAGGACACACATTATTTCGGCCATCCGCTCCCCCGAGGGAAAATATTATACATTGTTGTATAATTATTAACGTTATACATATAGAGATACCTATACGTCATGGAGTTTTTTTCATTATCACTTGTACCTCTAAATAAAATGATTTGACTATTTAGTTCGACAAATGATAACTCGAAGTTTCATTTTCACATCAGTGACGGAAATGGACAATGGTCTCGGAAATTCAACATAATGACAAGTGACAACCCTGGATCACAATTATTTTAAAGCAGCAGGTTTTCTCCCTCGGCCCCTCATATTTATAAATTATATTTACACTACAGCCGAGTTCACAAATACGTCATCTTTCTTATAGTGTGGCTTTTATCTTATGTAATTGGCCATTGTAATTATGGTATCATTCACTATAACCATAATCTACCGTTAAATTTCTAGAGACACAACACGACTTTTTTAAATCGGAAATAATTTCTCTTCATATAGGTTTTACAGTATTATAAATACGCTGATGTCCCGCTTCATCATCGATAATTTTGCGACAAGTACCTATTCTAATACCTACCTAATATATAGGTATAGAATATTTGAACGTCCGTGCAATTCGATCGTATATATATGATGCCTTTATCGTTGTGGAACAAAATATAATATAATATACAATAAATAAAACGAAAAGCGCCAACAAGTTTTTGTTTTTTGTTCCTCTTCGCTATGCTTTTATTCTCACCCAGATCGCACAATATAATATTATTTGCGCTCGGACGAAAGTGGCATAGTCGTGCGTGTGAACGATATATGGGATAATGTTGGGTGGTACGGGTGGGGTCAGTGGCGGTGAACAGTTTTTAGATAAGGATAATCCGCTTCGGTGGTGGGTAGGTCGTGGGGGTGGTTTTTCCTCGACCAGCCCCCTCGCGACAATCCGCTCCCCCCTCTCAACGGCTGCATGCGCCCCTCGAAACAGACCACCATCCACGACGGATTCTACTCCCCTCCTTGTCGTCTCTAAAGAGCAAGCGACCGGAGCGCCGTTCGACGCTTCACCGCCCCCTCGGCGCTCCACACATATACCACCCACCCGCCTCCGTCTCCACCATCTACCTGGTCCATACCACACTCGCGCACGCACCGACGCACCGCACACACACACTCATCACGCACGTACATATCGCGCGCTTACACACACACACACAAAACACAAGACTCGGCGGCGGTGGCGGCAGCGAGCGAGCGATCGAGCAGAGGCGGCCGGCGAGTGCCGCCAGTCGATGGCGAGCCGCTCTGGTCGATGGCAGCACCTTGCTCCGGTGGTGGTGGCCGCCGCTCCGACGACGTGTCGACCGCGGCCTTGCCGCTAGCCGCCGCCGCCGCGCCAAAGACCGCGACCACTACGACGACTAATACTACTCCGTCGAAAATGCCACCGCTGCAGCGTCTGTCCGGCGGACCGCGTCTGGCGGACACTCAGGTGGCGGCTGCGGACAAGTCGCACCGGCGCAAGATATCGTTGCCGTGGTTCAGACAGACGAGCACGTCTACCGCCGCGGCCGCGCTCGCCCGGCAACACACCATCGACACGCCGGGCTCGTACAGGCACCGTAGTTCGACAGCCACGCGATCCTCTGCCGCGTCCGTACAGGTATATCATAAGTAATGCATGGCCCACGTCGACTTGCGTTTGTGTAGATCGTCGATGGTTTTTTCCATTCGTTTGGATTTTGTGGTGAAATGTATTTCTTTCCTGAGTTATTTTGCAATTAAAATAATCATAGTGGTTGTACTTTAGTAGGAGGTATCTTAGAATATTTTATATAGAAGATCTCAGAGAGTTATGGAAAGTGACAAAATTCGTAGGTACCTACTGAACTTGTAAAAAAAAATGCCTACTAAATATAATTTATTTGTTGGAACTGCAAACTCAATTCTCAAGTCATTGAACGAATAACATTTTATTTATATACATACATATATGGGTAATAAGTGTGCTTTAATTATATATACCTATATATATTATATTTTAGTTTTAAATAGTTTTTATTGCACAATCTGTTCAAATAAATGTAAAACTATAAGTGAATGTGATATTTGGAGAAAAAAAGACTGGATTCACAGATTGAAGAAACCTCCCATGTGGAGCAATTTCGAATATTTTTAATAAATGGTTTGTTATTTTAGTGAAGTCCTATCCTAGGTAGGTAACATTTTTTCCCCAATCTTATAATTTTTCTATTACGATACCAATATATAATGTTTTCTCGTATAATTTCGGCTTGCTGCAGTGTCTTAAAACAGAATAATTACACCTACCTACTTTATGTTTATATATAACGGTGTATGACTACGGTGATGAGTAAAAATTAATATTTTTAACAAAAAGTGTATATGGATTGGGCGTGTTCTACCCTCGCAAATGTAGGTATATGTGGCCAACACGTAATAATCGCGTGCCTTTTGTTCATTTTTTTAATGTTACTTTATTTTTTTACTAAAACATTTATGGCGTACCTATTTTATTTTAATCACCGATTGCAAGAATTTTTATTATAATTATTATTGTTATTACATTTTGTTGTCCTACGTTATTGAAACTGATAATAACTAAATTAGTTATTTTAAACACGTATGAACCGTATATTAATTGCCGATTAATTTTTGTCAAATTAATATTGTGATGTTTTCCTAAATTTAAAGTATGCTAAAGGTTATCATTCGTTGTTCTATTAAAGTGGAAACTAATAGGCGCCTTCCTGTAATATTTACTTTAATTACATTTATAAGGGTTGATATATACATCCATTTATTATAAATATACTGTTTAATTTTAAACTAATTTAAGAACTTAGAATTAATTCATATTAACCGTGTGTTATACCTCTGCGTCATTTGTTATTATTCGTATCAATATAAAATAATCAACAAATTGTACAAAATATTGTATATAATTATATTAGACTTTGAAGAATTCTATTGCCGTTATTGTCTTTATTTGTTTGGATTATAATGTGTTACTGTACTTTTTTTCTAATTCCCATATTTTAATTCATTACCAAATGGGCTTATAGGTATTATAGTCACAAAAAATAAATTATAAACATAACTATTACAATGATAACGTTTTATGAAATACACACTGTTAAATAACAGTATTAAATATTATAAATGTTTACTTAGATAATGAAAAGTTGTAACCTTATCATGCTATAGTTTCAGAATGTGTGTGTGTTATCCATGAAAGTTTTTTTGTTCAGGTAGATAACAAAAAATAATTATTTACTTATAGGTATCCATTAACCTCGAAATATAATATTTTATTTATGAACAGTAGGTATATAACATATATTTTATTATATCGGAGTATTGGCGAATGACGTTATATATAGCATAATATATTGAATTGATTAGTTTTATTCTTTTCAGTTACTTTTTTTATGAAGTAATTAATAAATGTGTATGATAAGTATTGGTAGGTATACTATTATATATAGTAAGTCTAAGGAATCTTGTTTCATTTAGTTTATTTTTTAATTAAATTTCTATAATTTATTTTTGTGAATACATTTCTATATCACACATGCATTAGAGATAATAAAAGTAATAATACATTATATATTTAAAATTTAAAAATATTTATACTAATATTAATATATATCTATGTATATTACCTAAATATAGATGTCAGCTAGCTTTCGGGAGTTTGGGACTGTATATAAAACACAATATTGAAAGCTTGTGCTATAAACATATAAGATAAAAATTATTCTTAATTTTAATAATTCTTTCATGAAATTAATTTTTAAAAAAATCCGTAGGTATATTATCATTTATCACCGTTCTTAATACTTATATTTATTATATCTATTGAATACCGTCAGTCTATTAGTAGTAAAATATTTTATTTTATTTTCCTATTCCCTTCGAGCACGATGTCGCATTTTGTGTAGTATAAACTTAGGTATAACTGTTTGGTGAATTTACTAAAGTTTTTTATATGCCTAATATTATTTTTTCACTGAAATTTCGATTTTCCGATGCCATGAACAATTTAAAAGTTATTAAGACAATTTTTTATAAATATTATATGCATAAAAAAAAACTATGTTTAAAAATCAGTTTCGCACATTTTTTTCATCTACATCATAGATGTGAAAACTATATAGAATTTATTTTATTCATAAAAATAATTTAGTACCTAATAATAATAATAATTATTTCTCATAATATTATCTGCTATTATTGTAATGCTCAATTTATATAACGTTTAACCAAACAGACTATATTTTTGTTATGCTTGGCAAACAATCGGATCAAACTTTCAAAACATTTATTACCTTTGAAGAACTCGTAATTTGTCTACAACTCCCACGGCTAAAGATGAAATTTAACCGTCGTATTTCCTACACGATGGTTTTCCATACATCAGCGTCATATTACTATTTATCATGATTCGTTCATTAAGTATAACAATAATTAAAGTATTCCACAGTAATTTGTTCGTTAAAATATATTTCAATGTTATTGTCAAACATATTAATTGTTATATTATAGAGGTACGTTATAACTTATAAGTTATAAGTTATAACATGTTATAGGTAGAATACTGTAAATCGCTATTAAAAATGTCTTGAAAACTCACATTTTTACAAAGAAGTACGTACCTATGTCATATTCTAGTTAATATATACGTATTCAATATACATAATACATAATATATGTATATTGTATAGGAATTTATTTATATATATCAACTGAAGCGTTATTCATTATTATTTATTATACATTTGCACACTACAAACCTTTCATCTTAATATATGTATTATAACAAATATTTTGTTATATTTGCACAAAACATAAATTATATCATTTTGTAATTCAGTGGAAAGCTTTGCGTTATTGTGAAAGTGTATATTATAATATTATGTCAGAATATTCGTAATTTTATGTGCAACGTTTTTACCTTTGAAGCAAAAGTTTACCCCACGAGAATTGGTTGAGAATAGTTGTTAAATGATCTATATAGTATACTTCGTGCACTTGAAAATTCTGCGTGAATATTTTATTACTTTTTAAATAAAAAGAGCTTAAAAAATTCGCTCCACTTTAAATTTTATTTCACAAACCCGATTATAATATTGTATAATGTAGCTTCAGTTTTATAAATAATATGTAGTATATCTAGTAGTTGGATAAAATTTCATCTTATTATATTTGAAGTAGTAAGGTTGGGGGGTAGGTAACGCGTGTAACGATTTAATACGTATTTATTGCCGTTAAGCGCGTAATAATAATTATACGCAAGCCTTTATTTTATATTTTTATCAAACGGGATATTTATCGATACTAATAATGGTTATTATCCTGTACTAATAGTATATGTATATATAATATTATATATGCCTTCTATTTAAATTGTTCTTGTAAATATAGGTAAGCAAATTGCGAAACTATTTATATTTCTAATAATAAAGCAAATCATTTAGCCGTGGAATGCCGTCGATCGGAATCGTGTTCAATGCATAAAGGTTATGTAGTATTACAATATCTTTTGAATTTTTAAGTAACGTAAACGCCTTTAGAGCGGCTAACGATTTAGCGAATTAAAATTTAACGAGCATGAAAATGCATTTATTCTTACTATCACCGTTACTGCTGCAGGTATAAAATTATCCATGATATTGTTATATTATATTAGTTACGATGTGTATATATTATTTAATAGGTTGTCGTCTCATTCTATTATAAATATATAATATATTTTTATATAAATATACTATATACTAATCGAATCTCGGGAAGATCTTACAGCGCTTGTATATACATACAAATAAATAAATATATATAGGTACCCACTACCCGCGCTGCTGTATCGGCTTGTATTAAAATCGGTGAAAATTTCATTGAATATAATGCTTGCATAGCCTGGCATATCCACATGCATTCCCAGATATCCGTATACTAGCGTACTAGCGTATACTACTATACCGTATATATTATATATGATAATATATAGGTTGGTCGTATAAAAAAACGTATCCCAACGTTGCTCTATATCCTCTCGTCATGTAGTAATTTATTTTATTTTATACGATCGGATATCCTTTTTTGTACAGTTTTATGTAGGTATATGCAATATAATAATAATATATGTTGCTCGAGCGTTTGTGTATTATAAAATATCGCATCGCCCCGTATATATACGCGAATTGAGCTTTTGTGTAGATAATAGTACAACAGTATATTATCGTTGCAAACATTCCGTATTTCGCTGCACAGGTGTCCAGTGTGCAGCTCGTACCTACTACCTACAATGTAGGTCCTACATCATGATGTATATATATTTATGCACTTGACCCGTTTCAAAATCCCTTTGACCGCATAAAACCGTATTCGTTTCGATCTGCTGAACATTGCCATTATTATATTATTATACTTTATTTTCCTCAGTTGCGTAGGTACTACACATAATTTCACCTGGTGCTCGTGGCGCATTAATTAATGTCAACCACGATCTAAAATCCGTATACAACGTATAGCATATATATATATATTATACTATTTCAGTTATGTGTATTATTATTTATAAACCCCCAGTGGCTTTTAAGGTTTTACTATAGACGGGGGAGGACAACATGTTGACCGGCCCTTTTACAAATGATCAATGTTTGTTCTTTCCGAGGTAAAAAAGAAAATTTTTACAATGTATATAATTTATCTACAATATAATTCCTTTATTTTGTTCACTACCATTGGACTGGCGCCGTATTATTATTTTGTACTTATATCTGGTATTTAAAGATAAACTACTTAATTAAATTGTTGTACTCTTAAATATATAAGGAGGTTTTTGACGAATTTGCTCTACAGATCTCCAGATTGCAGATTTTATAAAATATTATAAATATTATCTTTATGGTGTCAAGTATTTTTAAGTATTAACATGAATAAGTACTTATTCAAGTTTGTAAACTAAATTAATAATTAATACCTACCTGCCTACTTAAAGTTCTACCTACCTAGTTAATTAATTCAATAATTAAAATTTTTAGTTTTTCATAGAAAATTCTATATGAACAATAATATATACGTACGGTATTCCAAAATATACTTACTGCCTAGATAGATAGCCATCTACCTATATGAATTTAAACACCTTACTACTACTTGAAAATTATAATAATATCGCTTAATAAGATCTTATGTACCTATTCGGTTTTTCATTGTGTAATGAGTTATGACTATTGACTATGATGTACATATGTTTTTTGTTTATAGAACTCGGGCGTGGAGATGACGTGGGTGATCTCGGATTTCACGGCCACGGCCGCTGGCCAGGTTACTGTCGCCAAAGGCCAGCAGGTCGAGCTCTTGGACTGCTGTGGTGGTACGAGTGAAATGGTTTTGGTGCGCGTACCGTCTGACTGTACCGAAGGAATGGTGCCGCATATTGTACTCAAGCAACCACCGTCACTGAAGTCGCCGCAAGCCACAGGTAAAGGAAAACACCATTCATATTATAATAGATATCAATTTATATACATATACGATTAAGTAAAGTCGTAATCAGGGGTGGATAAACGAAAGGTGAGAGCTGTGAGTATGGCTAAACAATACCCCCGAGGTGCCTTTAATTCGATTCGCTTATTAGTTAATTTATAGAATTAGGTGGATTGTACTTTAAATATTCTAAAGCAGTTATATTATGTACCTACAATAGTTTAAATGTACATGATTTATAATTTTTTACTAGCACGAGTATACCTAGTTTATTTGAATTTTTATGATTCGTCGATGCATATTTTTATTAATTACTTTTTAATTTTTATATGTGTGAAATTCAGTTAACTGTTCTTCTCAGTCGCATTGTAGTGGTGAGTACGTTTTTGCTGTTACGTCATTATTGCTAAATTAGGTACACCCTTTATAGATTATAGGTAAGTAGTAAGTACCTATTTAGGTACGAGATGTCGAGATGTACTCGCATTTTGTTTAAAAAGTCTAAGCAACAACAAACAAACTAGTAATTTGCAATTACACGTATATATATTATTCTCTAAGAGCGAATACATAAATTATTCCCTTAACAATTTATGATTTAATACGCTTACTGTATTCTTGATTTTCTATGTATGAATACGAGTTGTTTATATTTGTAAATTAGAATTCGTATGTGAAAAGGGTTTTAATTACATATCCCGGACTATTGATTTAAGAATAATTATAATTAAATTTGTAAATTTCTAGGGTAGGTACTTAGATAAATATTAATTATGGACACATATCATAATTTATCCTCCACAAAAATACAAAGTACAATGTCAACTTGTTTTTTTAGGTATTTTTTGTGAATCTAATATTGACACATTAAATTCATATTTACATATGTCACATGGAAAGTTGTTTGTCTTTTTTTATGAATCATCTTTGTTCTTATAATAGTGTGAAGGCATTATGAATTAACAACTAGTCAGCGTTATTGTACAAAAAAGGAAACTGGCATAAAAAGTTTCTACCATGAAATTTAATATTGGTCCTGACATGGCGCGACCCTATTTCCTTTTATCCCATCGATTTCATCATTGTTATTTGTATAGATATCCGTAGAGAGTCAATAATGATTAATAATGATTTATTGCGTATATTTAGTAATTTGTTATATTTCCGCAATATCGTATCACTGAAAATTGATAATAATTATACATTTAATGGATTTTCTTTCAAAAATGTATTAAAACTATTTTGTAAATCAAAATGAAACTACGAGAATAGCAAATCTATAATCTATTCCAGGTACCTCGAATAAATAGATAAGTCTTTGGAGAGCATAAACTATAAATTCAATATTATATTCATCAAAGCTGTTTTATTAAATTATATACGAGTTCAAAGTTTGTATGTTTTATTAATTTGTTTTAACCATAAACGTTCATTAAACATCTTTTGACATAACAAATATTTATTATTAGATAATTATAAAAATAAATTGTTTCCACGTTTTGACTTAAGCCGAGTTCTAAGTAAGCTAATTTAAAAAAAACCGCGGTATCATATTGTATATCCTGCCAAGTTCTTAATTCAAATTCTTTAACAAATACGGTAGAATTTTTTTTTATGATTTTAATTTATTATCCAATGATAAATTTTATTGTATTTTGTGGTATTCGACTATCATGTTTTTTTGTAATAAACCTAAACGGCACCGATGTCTATATTGTAACGGCGTTATATTGTGTTGAGACTTTAAAACCAGATTATATCGAACGGAATTTTTCAATGTCGTTTACCTAATAGATTATATTTGTAAACGGTGTATGTGAATTAAAATTCCAAACCTTTCCAATTATAACTTCACATGCGAACTGATAATAACGATTGTCGGTCGTTCAGTGTCCGAGTGGAGTAACTTCAGTATCAAATGTATTCAATAGTTTACATTTACGTTGTAAATCGATCGAACAAACGTCCAAAACGTGTTGATTTTTCGTGTATAAATTGTAGTGTCAGTTTTAAATATTTTACTCACAAAAAAGTGAATACTTGCAGACAAAACGATTTCAACGTTAGCCAGGTGTATCGTGTAAAAGGTAAATTTAATTCTGAATATTGTATCATTTTATTATTATTTTCTTCTTCGATAACTGCACTACTGCAGGCAGGTGAGTGATCTTTTTTGTTTCGCGTGTTATTGTTATATAGGAACGTGTCGACGCGTTAAAAAGTACAATTATCGTACATTGATTTAAATTTCGTAAATATTATTTTTATTATTATATTTATTATTTATTATACTTCTTACATTTTATTGAATTTATTAAAAGTTGTTGATTGATAGTATAAAGTATAAACCTCTTTGAGAAAATAGCCTCCGCGTGTGTAATTTCTCGGAAACGACTACAGCCTACATGGCTACATACGAGATTTTTCAAAAACGTTTTCAACTTTCGACGTAAATTATATTCGTAGAAATATTACCGTTTATATGTAGAATATGAATTAATAATAATTGTCGTGCTAACCTGATACCTTTTTTCATTTTCGATCTCGTTCCTCTAAGCACGTGTAGGTACAGTTATACGTGGAGTACGGAAGAACCGCCATTACCAGATCCTGGTAACTTATATAATACGTTTTAGTCTTATATTTAAATGTATACATCCCGTTTAATCGTGTAATCTGGATGTACTGTCAAGAAACGAATCCTAAAGTGTCATGGCTATAAATATATTCACAGTCACTAGTACGTGTATCGTGTTGACGACAACGATCACTATCGGTATCGAGCATCGGCATTAGCACCGATAATATGGTCTTAAGATAAGGTGATAGGTCGGATAGGCAGGTAGGTGAGCGTTCCCTGTCGAACACACCCATCCATCGCTCACCAAATTTTTATTTAAGTAATGTTAGGTACACGTTTCAAAATTATAGTTGACTCCCCCATAATAAAAATCGTATCTACTATTATTATAATAAGCTACCACAGTATCTTGTAGTCTCGCTCTTCCCTCGAATCTGCAGTGTGGCGCGGCGTCCCCGAAAACCCCCAACTGTTCGAGCTCACTGAGTTTCCAGTATCTGTAGCATGTTGTCAGTATACAGTTGCCGAAAACGTATTTTCGATATGTCGAGATGAAATCATTTGACTTGCTCCGACGCTTATATTATAATATAATATTGTCGTTGTAACGCCAACATAATAATATTATGTTATAATATATTATAAGCGAAGGTACAATGTTTAATATTCGCTTTGTACTAGGAATTGAAATACTACTTATGATTTTATTTTATCTATTATATTAATAATTTATGGATGTAACATCGTTGTAAGAAAATTGATATAGGGGAGGACCCTATAAGCCGGCTTATAAAATGGGATGCATCACTGCTGCGGTACTTGAATGTACAACATTATAATATTTTTTCACTGTCGTTATACTTCAGTAACTAGGGCAGACTTACCGATTTTCCTACTCGGGCGTTGTGTATGGGTGAAGAGAGGAGGTAAAATGCTGAATAAAAGATTGTTACAAATGTAAGAGTTAACATCCCCTGCTACCCCCAATAATAAAAAAACTGAATATAGTCGCGTGATTCGTTGAACTCTTTTATTCTCCATTGAAGTATAATATTTAACGCGTGGTCTGACCCTCATATAATTACTAGTAATTACATTTGTGTATAACTTAGGTACCTATAGTATGTTATAATAGTCCATCTGAAAACAGCAATAATAATACTTGATATTTCGTCGTTTAATTTTATAATTTTCTACCGCTAACCCTATCCGTGGTTACCAAATTATTGGGTGAGTTATAATAATAATTTTTATTTTGTACACATAATACATATTACATACATATTTATATATAATTATATAAACTAGGATAAGGTTTGCACCACCTCCCTCTATTAATAATAAATCATTGCGGTATGAAAAACGATTCTGAGTAAAGACTATCAGCTTCTATTTCTAAGGATATTTTATTATGTATTTACATAACTTTTGGTAATTTATTTTTCCATTATATAGTAATACGGTAGCTTGATCTTATTATACACAAACATCGCATATTATGTCATATATTTTTGTTAATACACTTTAGAGTTTAGACTAAAGTCAATACCGAGATCATAGAACTGTGTGTGAATGGTTCGTGGTATTTAAATAAATTACCCTAAATATTTTGAAAATATCATTGTGTATAGAAAATAATAATATATGTAATGGCGAAAAGTTTCAAGATCCAACGATGAATATATTTTGAATCACAAAAAATTAACTTAAATCGTTATTTTTGTTTAAATAGGTACTTATTCAATTTCGTGTACCTATATTAGAATTTCAAATGTACATAAAAGAAAATGTTACGTTTGTACCTATATGTTTTATCGATAATTTTAAAATACTGTATAAAACCAAATTTTATATTAAATTTCCAGTTTTAATTTTTTTATTTACAATCAAAAATTTGAATTGTCTTCAAAAAACACAAGCCATAATATTTCGAAAATTATATTAGTTAAAAAAAATGGTAATCTAAAATATTTGGTAAAAATGTCTATGGATGAATAAAAAGTAAAATTTGGGTCTTGTCATTCACTGGCTTTTCTGATTTTTTTTTTTTTTTGTTTTTCCCGATCAAACTTTATACAGGTATGATGTTTGATAGTTAGGTTATCTTTTTACATTTTGAATCAGACGACTAAAGTTTAAATTTTTAAATTTTTGACAATTTATTTATACTTAGTTAAAATAATGCGAAAAACCTGTTAAGTAATAAATACATTAATACATTAATTTCCTATTAATAGAGCAAAATATGCAAAAATATGCAAAAATCTCGTAAGTGTGAAATACTATGCATAATTTAATTTGTTATTTCTATATCAACCAATTTTATTTATTAATAACATTTATCTCTGCCATGTTCTACAAAATCTTATAAGAATATGTAATCGCTATTCTCAAACCCTGGTTTTATTCCAGTT